ACTCTTTCTAGAGTCTCAAGAACTTTTTTATAGTGTGGTGACCAAAATTGGAATGCAGTATTCTAGGTGTGGTCTTACTAAGGCTTTATAGAGTGGTATTAGTACCTCCCTTGATCTTGATTGTATCCCTCTGTTAATGCAATTTAGGATTGCATTGGCTCTTTTGGTTGCCGCTGCACACTGCTGGCTCATATTTAGAGAGACTACATGCCTTGGCAATCCTGTTTATGGTGGGGGTTAGTAAATTTATTTTAAATATGGAATACCTTAATTTCACAACTGTCTTGCAAATGCAAAGAATCTGACGATGTACATAGGAATAATTTCCTTTTCTCACACATTTGTTTTGTGGTGGAAATACACACATTTCTAGCCCTGACATTTGGGGGAGGGGGCTATGTTTCTTAAAACTGATCCCTCCATCACTTCAGCTGTACCAAATTATTTCTAATCCCCTTCCCTGGAATGCCTCATCCAAATACAAATTGGCATCTTTTCCACTGGTGAGTCCCCCCTTTCAGTTACCGGGGGGGGGGGGTAGCCTGGAATTTTAATGCCAGCCTTATCCACAAGTCTTAAAGTTGCCAAGGTTGGAGACCCCTGAATTAGGAGAAAGTGACAGAAGAAATAATTCGCGCTTTTCAGTCTTAAGTAAATTTCTGCCTTGGAGATAGAGAGCAGAAGTGAACGTTATGGAAATTTAGAAAGCTCCCAGAGGAACCCAGGTGTGCCATTTTTAATACCGGTAGATAGAAATGACTTTTAATAAGCTCAAACACCCGTCGTAGAGCTGCTCAAACATCGTGAGGAGGAGACTTTATTCTGCAGGGTTGAAGACGAAGGCAGTCGAATTTAGCCGCCTGTCATCAAGCTGTCACCTGTTCTGGTACTCTGACATCCCAGAGTCGATGCACAATTATCTTTACATTTTGACTTTGCTTATCACGGGAATCTAGGCGGTGATCATCTCCAGCAAAGAGCTGTGAGCCACCAGTTAGCGCTAAGAGAAGAGAGTCAGTCCAAGGCTGGCTGGAGAAACATCACTTTCAGAAAACAGCCCTCCTTCCTTTGGCCTCTTCTGACTCTCTGCCTTCCTTGAACTTGCATTGAAGAGCAACAGCTCTTGAAGATGCCACGTATTATCATATTTGGTGGACATGTAAAAAAATTAAGGCATTTTGGATAAAAATATGGTGGATTATGCAAAATATCCTTAAAAAGAAGATAAAATTCACACCACAGTTTTTTCTGTTAGGTATAATTACAGATTGTAACGTTATCGAGACTAAGCTGATTTTAAATTTAATAACTGCAGCTAGACTCTTGGTGGCGCAGTACTGGAAGAAGGAAGATTTGCCTACTATTGAAGAATGGACATTAAAAGTAGTCAACTTAGCAGAGACGGCCAAAATTTCAGCGTATTTGAAGGACTATTCAAATGAAAGATATATATCGGAATGGAGAAGATGGATTGATTATATTCGAAACAAATATTGGACCAAAAAGTTTCAAATAGCTTATGAATGAAACTTATATTTTCTTTTTGAAATATGATTAGATAGTGGTAAGGGGAGTTAAAAACCAAGAAGGAGTTTGGAGACTATAGAAAGTTAGCTTATTTTAACTTATGTTTATTATGTTATACCCTGTTTTTGCTCTGGGAAGTCCGGGGGGTGGTGGTTGGGGGGAGGGGGGTTAGAGGGAGAGGGGGAGGGAAGGGGGTGGAAGGAGAGGGGTGGAGGGGAGAAAATTGTTGTATTGATTAAAACTTTTTAAATAAAAAAAAAGAGCAATAGCGCTTAGACTTACTGTATATACTGCTTCACAGTGTTTTACAGCCCTCTCTAAGCGGTTTACAGGATCAGCCTATGGCCCCCAACAATCTGGGTCCTCGTTTTACCAACCTCGGAAGGATGGAAGGCTGATTCAACCTTGAGCTGCTCAGGATCGAACTGCTGGCAGTGGGCAGAATTAGCTTGCAATACTGCATTCTAACCACTGTGCCACCACTGAACTTACATCGGCCTTTTTTCCCATAATAAGCGGTGCCTTCCTCCTTCAAAGTCTTGTGTAGCATGCATTTCCTTTCTTTTCAAAGAAATTCTACACAGCTTTAGCCAATATTGAAATGGATGTTTCTTTGTTTTTTTCCCCAATTGCCTGAGGAGTAGGGTACTCTGGACAGACCATGAAATGATTGGGAATAATGACACCATCAAATAAACACTTAGTAAAAGACATAGAACAAGAAGAATGAGCCAAGAAAGAAAATATCTCTTAGCCACTAACCCAGGGGTCTGCAACCTTAAGCACTCAAAGAGCCATTTGGACCCGTTTCCCACAGAAAAAAAAAAAAAAACACTGGGAGCCACAAAACCTGGTTGGGCGTGGCCAACTCAACATCACTCACTCCCACCCAGTCACATGACTCCCCTAGCCACGCCTACCCAGCTGGTTATTAGGGCAGAGAACCGGTTGTTCTCTCCCTCTCTCTGTCTCTCTCTCCGCCCTCTGTATTCTCTCTCTCTCCCTCTCTCTCTTCCCCTCTCTCCCTGTATCTCTCTATCTCTCTGTATCTATGTCTCTCTCTCCCCCTCTCCCCCTCCCCGTATCTCTCGGATTTCCAAGGCCAGGCAAGGAGTAACTGGGAGGGGAGGGTGAGGGGTGGGGCCATCCAATGATGGGACAGGAAGCTGCAGCAGAGGGGCCAAAGAACCGCATGCGGCTCCGGAGTCGCGGATTGCTGACACCCACACTAACCAGTGTAATGTAGCAACTTAAAATTCCAACTAACTATGAGGTTCTGTCCTTAAGAAATGGCTGTGGAATTTCTCCTTCCTCTGGAAAAATCTGGAGGAACTTTGGCAGAAAAATTCTCAAGGAGATCCTGGAAATAAGGAGGGATTTTCTAACAGTATGAACTATTAAGCAGTAGATCAGGTTGCCTTTCGGAATTTGGGGGCTCTGTTGCTGGAGGTTTTCTAGAAACGATTGGAAGAAAATGATTGTCCCAAATGGTTTGAAGACTTTGGGAGGAAGCTTGGACTAGAAGACTAGAAAACTAGACTAGACTAGAAGACTTCCCAGTTTTCCCAGTTGCAATGTACGGCTGGGAAAGTTGGACCATAAGGAAGGCTGAGCGCCAAAGAATTGAGGCCTTTGAACTCTGGTGCTGGAGAAGACTCCTGCGAGCCCCTTGGACTGCAAGGCGATCCAATCGGTCAGTCCTAGAGGAGATCAACCCTGACCGCTGTTTAGAAGGCCAGATCCTGAAGAGGAAACTCAAATACTTTGGCCACCTAATGAGGAGGAAGGACTCCCTGGAGAAGAGCCTAATGCTGGGAACGATTGAGGGCAAAAGAAGAAGGGGAAGGCAGAGAACGAGGTGGCTGGATGGAGTCACTGAAGCAGTCGGCGTGACATTAAATGGTCTCCGGGGGATGGTAGAGGACAGGAAGGCCTGGAGGAACGTTGTCCATGGGGTCACGATGGGTCGGACACAACTTTGCAACTAAAAACAACAACAGAAGACTTCCAAAGTCCCTTCCAGTCCTATAATTCTATGGTATGTTCCCCGTCAGATGGGAAACGAAGAGATGATCCCTAGCAGTTAAGAACATTTGATTTCCTTTTTCCAACTCTGAGAGCAACACAGGTAGTCCTCGACTTACGATCATAATTGAGCCCTGAACATTTGTTCAGTGAGCTTTACAACCTTTCTTGCCATTGTTGTTGAGCGAAACACTGCAGTTGTTAAGTTAGTCACACAATTGTTGAGTAAATCAGGGTTCCCCATTGACTTTGCTTGTCAGAAGGTCTCAAAAGGGGATCTGGGACACTGCGGCCGTCATAAATATGAGTCAGTGTGAGAACTGTCTGAATTCACATGAGTCGAAGGCTCTCTTGAGAGTTCTCTATTTCGTGAATAAAATAAATCCATCCCTTTCTCCCCGTCAGGCATCATTTTCTTTTTTTCTTTTTTCTTTTTAAAACAAAACTTTATTAAACATATAAAATATACAGACGACAATACATAAAAAGAAAAAGTGACTTTGGTCACATGTCCATTATCTTATTAACGGTGCATATTTGTTAATTATTATTATCGTACAGAATTTTACATTTACTCTCATTTCTGCAAGTTATCCAATCATACCACTTATTCCACGCTATATAACATTTTGAATCTACCTTATCCTTCAATTCAAATGTTAGTTTGTCCATTTCCGCACAGTTATAGATTTTTTGGATTAGCAATTGATCTGTTGGCAGTTGATCAGTTTTCCAACATTGGGCGAGCGCCAATCTGGCTGCAGTGACTATGTGTAATATTAAATACTTTATTTCTTTCCTATAGTTTTCTTTAATCATCCCTAGTAGGAAAATCTCTGGTTTGAGTTCTATTTTTTCCAATGGTTTTTTTATTTATTTATTTATATGCTGCCCTTCTCCGGAGACTCAGGGCGGCTTACAATGCGTTAAGCAATAGCCTTCATACTTATTGCCCCCACAAACTGGGTCCTCAATTTACCCACCTTAGAAAGGATGGAAGGCTGAGTCAACTTTGAGCCTGGTAAGAATTGAACTCGCAATAATTGCAGGCAGCTGGATGTTAAATGCTGCCTTAGGAGGCATTAGCCTCCTACGCCACTCAGGCTCCTACTACAGCCTTCATACTATTGTATATTTTATACAAAGTCAGCTTATTGCCCCCACAAACCGGGTCCTCATTTTACCTACCTTAGAAAGGATGGAAGGCTGAGTCAACCTTGAGCCTGGTGAGAATTGAACTCACAGTAATTGCAGGCAGCTGGAAGCTAAATACTACCTTTAACAGTAGCATTAGTCTGCTGCGCCACTCAGGCTCCTGTCCAAATTCTTATTTTTCCCTCAATATTTCCTAATTTCTTCCACGTCTGGTGGCTTTGCCCAAAAATTAGGAAATATTGGGCATCGTTTTCATGCCTCCGGCAAAACAATTCCTACCATGACGGACTTACCGCTCCAAGCATGATTCTGAAAATAAGCCAACGATAGGCCCAGATGACAATAAAGGAAGGAGGGGTATCCTTGGCCACCCGGGAAAGAGTCCACAAAGGACACAGGAAGATTGCCAAAAACCCGGTTTCCAGAAGCTGCGATTCCCAACCTGGAAGAAATGATGGAGAGTGCATCAGACTGCTGCAAACAATAAGGCAGGTTATTGATGTGGGGTAAAAAAAGGCATCCTAAAGCAGCTGAAAGAGGCACTTTGCAAAGCACGTGGGAAGGGTCCCTCTTTGGAGTTTGAAAGCCACAATGGCATTTGAAGGCGAGTGGGACTGTTTGCATGTTTGCACATCCACAGCCATCTGCTTCCCATCCCATGATCGCTTTATTTTGCAATTAAAATCCACCTGAAGACTTCGTGCATTTTTCATGTATATTTCTTTTAACACAGTACGGACCTTTTGGTCTGCCTATATAACAGTGGGATGTTACAGATGATCTCCATCTCTTTCCCTCTCTCTCTCTCTCCCTTTCTCTCTTTCTTTCTCTCTCTCTTTTCCTTTCTCTCTTCTTTCTCTCTTTCTCACTCTTTCTTTCTCCCTCCCTTTCTTTCTCTTTCCCTCTCACTTTCTTTCTCTCCCTTTCTCTTTCTCCCTTTCTCTCTTCCTCCCTTTCTCTCTCTCTCTCCCTTTCTCACTCTCTCTCTATCTTTCTCTCTCCCTTTCTCTCTCTGTTCTTTCTCTCTTTCTTTCTCTCTTTCTCTCTCTCCTCTCTCTCTTCTTTCTCTCTCTCCTCTTTTCCTTTCTCACTCTTTTTGTTTCTCACTCTTTCTCTCTCCCTTTCTCTCTCTTTCTTTCTCCCTCCCTTTCTCTCTCTTTTGCTCTTTCTCTCTCTTCTTTCTCTCCTTCTCTCTCTCTCTTTCTCTCTTTTCCTTTCTCTCTTCTTTCTCTCTTTCTCACTCTTTCTTTCTCCCTCCCTTTCTTTCTTTTTCCCTCTCCCTTTCTTTCTCTCCCTTTCTCTTTCTCCCTTTCTCTCTTTCTCACTTTCTCTCTCTCTCCCTTTCTCACTCTATCTTTCTCACTTTCTTTCTCTCTCCCTTTCTCTCTGTTCTTTCTCTCTCTCTCTTCTTTCTCACTCTCTCTCCTCTTTTCCTTTCTCACTCTTTTCCTTTCTCACTCTCTTTCTTTCTCTCTCCCTTTCTCTCTCTTTCTTTCTTTCTTTCTCCCTCCCTTTCTCTCTCTTTCGCCCTTTCTCTCTCTCCCTTTCTCACTCTCTTTCTCTCTCTCCCTTTCTTTCTCGCTCTCTTTCTTTCTTCACAGGTATCCAGTAAGAGCCACCACAATGCCAGGTGTATCATGATGGTCCTAGGACAAATGACACTCCATCACATGCTAACCTCCTGTTCAAAACAAATAATAAAATACTGTGAGCACGAAAGGAAAAGTTGGAGACAGGGAGTCCTTGACTTATGACCACAATTGAGCCCAAAATTTCTGTCATTTAATGAAACATTTGTTAAGTGAGTTTTGCCCCGTTTTATGACCTCTCTTGCCACAGTTATTAAGTGAATCACTGAAGGTCGCCAAAGGGGATTGCATAACCGTCATAAATATGAACCAGTTGCCGATCACGTGACCAGGGGGATGTTGCAAAGGTTGTAACTCAAAAACGGGCATGAGCCAAATTTTTCTTTTTTTTTTTTTTTTATTGCAAAAGTTTTACAATTACATTTTCACCCCTTTTTTCACCCCCCCACCTCCCTCCCCAAACTTCCCTTCCTCCCTAACCCTCCCTAACCCTCCCCCCCCCAGACTTCCCTATTATGTACTCATAACTAATAACACTGATATATATACCTGAACCCATCCCTCCCCCTATATAATTTTCCCTCTTTGTCTCTTTATATTAAAATATTTCTAATACATTGTTTTCAAATAAAAGCTATTTGATACTTTCTAATTTGGTATTTGTTCTGAACATATTCTATCCACCTTTTCCATTCCCATTCATAAGTCTCTTGTGAACAATCTTTTAAATATGCTGAAATCTTCGCCATCTCTGCAAAACTGGCCATCTTCGAAGTCCATTCCTCGATAGTAGGCAAAGCTTCATTCTTCCAATATTTACCTATCAACAATCTTGCTGCTGTTATCATATACAATATTAATTTTGTTTCATCCCGTGTAAAACCCTTAACTATGCCCAATAAAAACAATTGTGGAGAAAATTGAATTTTTTTCTTCAAAACATTCTGCATGACCCACCATATTTTTATCCAAAAAGCCTTAACTTTCCTACAGGTCCACCAAACATGATAATACGTAGCATCCAAACATTCACATCTCCAACATTTTGGCTGAACATTAGGGTACATACATGACAACTTTTTAGGATCTAAATGCCATCTATAAAACATTTTATAAAAATTTTCCCTCAGATTCTGCGACTGTGTAAATTTAACATTCTGAACCCAAATTTTTTCCCATGTTTCCAACAACCCTGTTTCTTCAAAATTTTGTGCCCACTTAATCATGCAATCTTTAACTAATTCCGTTTCTGAATCCCTTTCTAGCAAAACATTATAAAGCCTTTTAATATGCATTGGACCTTTCTCTCTTATATGTCTAACCAATTCTTCCTCATGCAACATAATACCAGTTTTTTGGTCCTCTTTCCATCTCAATTGTAATTGATTATATTGTAACCAGGTTAAATTAATCCCTTCATCCAACAGTGTCTGCAATGTCTTCAGCTGCCATCTGCCCGCATCTGTAAAAAGAACCTCTTTGTATAAAAACCCCCCGAGTGACATTATATTTGTATTCCACAAGGTATGACCAAGATCCAGCCATAGCGGTATTTTATAATCCCATTTGAGTCGGTGCTTCTTCCAAACTCTCATCAAAGAGTCTCTAAGTATATGACTTTTAAATACTTTATCAACTTTGTCATCATAAAATAGGTAAGCATGCCATCCAAATTCAAGATCAAAACTTTCTGCATTCAATATTCCAGCCTTTTTACCCCCAAACCAATCACTTGTTAAAGTTAAAGCTGCTGCATCATAATATAACTGTAGGTTTGGAAGTTTAAGGCCTCCTCTTTCTGGAACATCTTGCATAATTTTCAATTTCACTCTCGGCTTTTTCTCGTTCCAGACGAACTTATTAAGTCCAGTTTGCCAAACTTTCAGTTGTTTATCACTTTTAAGCACCGGAATCATTTGAAACAAAAACAGAAATCTTGGCAACATGTTCATCTTAACTGCTGCTATTCTTCCAAGTAAAGACAGTTGCAGCTTTTTCCAAGTCTCCATGTCTTTCTGAACCTCTCGCCACAACACCTCATAGTTATTTTGAAACAATTTCATATTTGATTCTGCAACCTGAACTCCAAGATATTTTACCTTAGGTACAATTTCAAAACCTGCCCTCCTTTCAAGCTCATGTTTACGATCTTGTGTCATATTTTTGACTATCATTTTAGTCTTTTTTGAATTCAGTCTAAAACCTGAAACTCTACCATAATCTTGTATAATGTCATTCATCAGGATTGTTGATTCCATTGGTTGTGATAGGGTAACCACCAGATCATCTGCAAATGCCTTTATTCTATAATCCTCTTGCCTTATCATTATACCTTTCAAAATTTTTGAGTCCCGTATTGTATTTAGCAAGACTTCCAATGTTAAAATAAATAAAAGTGGGGACAACGGACATCCCTGTCTTGTTCCTTTTTCAATTTTAAACTCTGTCGTCAAACTTCCATTAATAATAATCTGTGCTTTGGCATGAGCCAAATTTTTCAGTGCCGCTGTAACTTTGAACGGTCCCTAAACAGAACCGTTGTAAGTAAAGGACTCCCCATACTTACAAGGGAGATGTTACTGTATTAAAAGATGTTACAGCCACTCATCAGCAAAGTTCTCGTGGTGATATGCCATTATGGGAACATCAAAGGAGAAGGGTTGGGATGTTGAATCTGATAGGATGACACAACGAAGAGAAGCACGTTTGAGAGGATATATATTTATCCACCCAGTATTTTGCTTTACTTCTTTTCCATTCAAGACAGCTGTCAGGCAGGAAGGGAACAATTCCACCCAATCTCATGCAAATGGCAACCCTTTGCATAAAATTTTCCTCCAACAATGGCCAAATATCCAAATGATTATTAAGAAAAGTGGCAGAGAAGAGTAAAGCGATCCAGCAGCTAAGTCAGCAGCTGGTCACGTCTGCTTTAAAGAAGCAATACAGCACAACCCTCTGGAATCAGCTGCCTCCAGAGATAAGGAGAATCCAAGACCTCGGTGCCTTCCGCCGTGCCCTAAAAACCTTCTTTTTCCAGCAAGCCGGGCTGGCCTAACACTTTTTAAAATGTTTTTAATTGTTTGTTATTGTTTTTTATCATGGGGCCAAATTTATATATATCTTTTTAATTGTATTTTAATGTTTGTAGTTTATGCTTTTACTTGGCTGTTCACCGCCCTGAGTCCTCAGGGAGAAGGGCGGTATACAAATTTAAAAATAAATAAATAAATAAATAAAATCTTGGGAGACACACACACACATGCACACACACAGTTTCTTTTTCAGACAACCATGTTGTCCAAACTAAATGTTATACATGTTCTAATTATATATATTTATTTTATTTATTTATTTGTCAACAAGTACAAGGAAACAAGTAACAGTATAGCCATAGACATGGACACAAAAAAAATGGCACAAATAAAAGGAAATAAATAAGCGAAACATAGCCATAAGCACATAGGATGATTACATATCAATGGAAACAGTGGGACAGGGACGGTAGGCACGCTGATGCGCCTATGCACGGCCCCTTAGGGACCTCTGAAGAAATGTGAAAGGTCCACGGTAGGCAGGCCTAACAGGATCAGGTGGAGTGTTCCAGACATTTTCTACTCTATTGCAGAAGTCATATTTCCTACAATCAAGATTAGAGCTATTTACATTGAGTTTGAATCTATTGATAGCCCTTGTATTATTGCGGTTGAAATTAAAGGACTCATTTACAGGTAGGACGTTTTTGGTAAATAATCTTACGAACTAAGCATAGGTCGGAACGTAGACGGCGTAGTTCAAGGCTACCCAGATGTAAAATTTCAAGCCTGGTGGTATAGGGAATTTTATTTTGAGC